TATCAGAAAATAGGAGCCCTGGCGGCGCAGTGGTTAACAGCTCAGCTGCTAACCAAAAGGCTGGCAGTTTGAATCCACCAGCTGTTTCTTGGAAACCCTATGGGGCAGTTCTACTCTGTCTTATAGGGTTGCTATGAGTCAGAATCAACTCGCTGGCAAAGCGTTTGGTTTTGTATTCGAAAACTTATTTCCTTCTTTGGAACAAAAAAAGAAAGAAAAGAAACTCATTCCTCAAACACTAGCAAGGCCCAGAATCTAGACAGACAAATACAGAAACACATAAAAAGTGACACCTAAAATCTTGAAGGTGAATACATAAAGTTTTAGAAATATAAAAGCAAAAGTAATAATGTGTACCACTTCCTTTAGCTGCTTCTGCTTGTGGTCTGCAATGCGTTTTCCACAGTTGCCCAGGATAGAAAGGGAGGCTGTCAGAATCCATTCCCAGGTTTTTCTCGCAAATATATACCAAGGGAGGCACAAAGAAGTCTGCTTTGGATTAAAGTTATGAACATCAGATTTCAAAATCAAGAACAAAATGTTTCAGTTTATTTCAGTTTTGTGTCACCAAAAACAGAAGGTTGGGAAAACTAGAATTCTACAGTTCTGGATTTCCTTAATGATTTAAGAAGACAGGTGAGGCAAAGATATTTTCATATATTAATACAATTAAACAGAAAAAGGATAACATGACTATATTCCAACGTTAAAATATATTTTTGACAGTGTTCCCTAACTACCAACAGTGATGTCTGTAGTTAACAGAGCTGAAGTAATTATTGGCAGCATTCTTCTTCTTATGCTTAAATAAAATGACCTCCAACACTATCATCAGTCTTGACTTGAGGTCTGAGAAGAGAACACCATACGACTTGACTTTTATCTCACAAAATTACAGTCTAGGCTTACAAAATATTCACAAGTGATTAGGAGTCCAAAGAAAAAGTGATAGATTTATTAATTTAGTTTGTAATTGGTCAAAAGTACCACAACTCATCATCATAAGAACCAAAGGAACTGGACAATATTTTTAAACGTACTTAGTACCTACACAGTTAATAGCAAGTTACTGTGGAAACTTTAAATATGGTATTTGATAATCAAAACAATGTTGTCTTAATTAATTAATACAAAACAGCACACTTTTACATAAAAATCTGATCTCTGTGAGCAACATCAGGTGTAAATGGAATAAATGATCTAGATGATTTTGCCTATAATGTTCAGATAATTGAGGAACTGTATTTATGTGCTAGAATTAGCTGGTGAGTTGCCTGAGGAATCTACTTTCTTTTCTATTTTGTTAATTTTAAAGTAGTAAACTGAAAAGCATTAAATCACTACATCTATTTATTTATAGATGCAACACAATTATCTCATAAAATTTGTATTGATAAATACTTGTCTTCCTCTAGCTATGCTGTAAACAGTGATGTAAGAAATAAAAGTATGCTTTTTATGTCTTTTGTGTAGTTGATAAATTTCTTAAATTTTATTTTACTGCATGGGAAACTAAAGATGAGAAATGATGACCCATATAACTGTTACCTTCTTTCTCCCACATTCCTTATTCTGATAAAAAGCATATCTCTTTATGAGCTCCTTAGGTCAACTTTTTTTTTTTTTGTATCCCTTTAGAATCTTTGGTATTGAGCACATAGTACTCAAGCCTTCAAAATATTTTTTTGTCTTAATCCAAAATTCAAAGAAGTTAGAAATGTCGTTTAATATGCTTGCTTCTAAAATATGTAGTATGTTCAAAATACTACATCTAAGGATTATGGAACAACAAATGGATACAGACAGAGATAAAGATATAGAGATGTTATAGCTAAAAATCTGATAGCAACAACCTAATTTAAATTTCAGTAACAGATTTTCATACATGTTAGTATACTCTTCAGGCACTTTTCCTTGCAGCTACAGGGGACCACTGACTAATAAACAAGCCTCATTTTTAAAAAGAAAACCCTGTGGTTGATTCAAAAGCCCACATACCCACAACCCAAGAAAAGTTTTGGAATACACAAGTAGTTAATTCATATTTTTGTGGGATATTAGTTCACGGAATCTTCATCGAGGCTACACACAAAAGAAAATGCTACAGAGGACTGGATACACATTTTAATGGAGACATGAATGCCCGCAAAAAATAAAATATTTAAAAGGACCAAGAAGCCAGGGATTCTTGTGTACCTGAAACATGTATAGTATTAAAAGTACATTTTGGGAAAAATGCATCTCCAATTGCAAAAGAAAAAAGTTGGACCCATACCTCACACCATATATGAAAATTTAAATGGATCATTACCTAAATAAAAGAACTGAAACCATAAAACTATTAGAAGAAAACATAGGGGTAAAGTTTTGGGACCTAGTTTTTGACAAACAATTCTTAGATATGATACCCAAAGCATGAGCAACAAAAGACAAAATAGATAAATAGGATTTCATCAAAATTAAACACTTTTATTCATCAATGGACTTTATCATGAAAGTGAAGAGATAACCTACAGAATGGAAGAAAATATTTGGGAACCATATATCTAAAAAGGGTTTAATATCCAAAATGTATAAAGAACTCCTACAACTCAACAACAAAAAGACAACTCAATTAAAACAAGGGCAAAGGAATAGACATTTCTCCAAAGAAGATATACAAATGACTAATAAGCACATAAAAAGATGCTGAAAGTCATTAGTCATTGTTGTTCTTGTTGTTATGTGCCATCGAATGGGTTCTGACTCATAGCGACCCTATAGTCACTAGGGAAATGCAAATCAAACCCATAATGAGATACCTCTTCACACTGACTAGGATAGCTAGTATCAGAAAAACAAAAAGTAACATGTGTTGGTGAGGATCTGGAGAAACTGGAGCTCTCATCCTTTGCTGGTAGAAATGTAAAACGGGACAACCACAGTTAAGTGGTTTCTCAAAAAGTTAAACATAGAAATACCATGTTACCCAGCAATTCCACCCTTAGGTATATGCCCCAAAGACTTGAAAGCAGAAGTTCAAACAGAGACTTGTACACCAGTGTTCACTGTGGCATTATTCACAATAGCCAAAAGGAGGAAACACCCAAGTATCCATCAACAGATGAATGGATAAACATGTGGTACATATGTACACTAGAATATTGTTCAAACAAAGAGAAGTGAAGTTCTGATATATGAATGAACCTTGAAAACATTATACTGAGTGAAATAAGCCAGACACAAAAGGACAAATATTATATGATCCCACTTACATGAAATATCTAGAATAACACAGAGACCAAAGTTTATTAGTGGCTAGTAGGGGTTGGAAGGAAGGGGAAATGGGGAGCTATTGCTTAAGGGGTTACTATGGATTGAACTGTGACTTCCAAAAATTGTGTTGTAAATCCCCACCGTTATACCTGGGGCTGTAATCCCATTTGGGAATAGTGGTTTATTTGTTATGCCAATGAGGTCGTATCAGTGTACGGTGTGCTTCAGCCAATCACTTTCTGAGATATAAAAAAGCAGATCAGGCACAGAAGAAAGCAAGCACAGATGGAGGAAGATACATGCCAGGCCACATGAAGATGGCCAGGAACCTAAAAAGAGACAAGGACCTTCCCCCAGAGCCAACAAAGAGAAAACCTTCCCCTAGAGCCAGTGCCCTGAAGTCAGACTTCTAGCCTCCTAACATGTGAGAAAATAAATCTGTTCACTACAGTCACTCACTTGTGGTACTTGTTATAGCAGCACTAAGAAACTAAGACAGCAGTACTGAGTTTCTGTTTTGGCTGATGAAAACATTGGGAAGTGGATAGTGGTGATGCTTGCACAACATGGTGAACGTAACTAATGTCACTGAATTGTACACTTAAAAACGGTTTTAAAAAAGTACATTTTACTATGCCAGAGTTTATTTTAATCATCTATTGGGAATATAACACTTCTCTTTATTTTCTACCCTATTTGAATGATACTTAATCCTTACTATGGGCGTGTCAGAGCCCTGGTGGTGCAGCAGTTAAGAACTAAGCTGCTAACCAAAAGATTGGCAGTTCAAATCCACCAGCCACTCCTTGGAAACCCTATGGGGCAGTTCGACTACCCTATAGGGTCGCTATGAGTTGGAATCAACTTGACAGCAATTGGTTTGGGGTTTTTTTGTTGTTGTTACTGGCATGTCAGTCTGCAGTCTCTGCTTCTAAGAGGACATCAATAGCACCTCCTCTACTCCCTCAACACACGCACACACACTGAACTTCAGCTCAAAGGTATGGTTTCTATGTCCCCTAATGTTCCTAAATAATCAACTCTGACTAATCATCAAGACTTTAACATCCTCAAAATCCATATTTACATTTGTCAAGTTATCATGTAATGGGAAGATGACAATACTGCATCAGTTCTCTGGACAGGCCTAGCAAGGACACCTCTTCAACCACTCAATGCTGAGTAGAAACAAAATTCTGTAACAAGCTATAGATTTGTATAAGAGCAGAAAGGCCACATCATGAGGGCTCTTCATGACTTCACAATGAACTGATTTAGAGCCCAGCTGCAAAGTCATTCACACTTGCCAAGAGAGGTTTTGAATACTCCTTGGGACCCACCCATCCATACAATGATTTAAACTAAATGAAAAAACAGGGTGACTCACTCCAACACTCCCCAACTCTATCCTGCAGGAAGAAGGCTAGAAAGTGATCTGATGATTAGCCTTGGGATTTCTGTGTTATCATTTTCAGAGCCTCTGCATAAGCGTTAAAAGTATCAAACCGGATCTAATTAGACTTGAACTCATGAACCTGCTCATACATTTGAGAGAAGAGCTTACAGCTTTGAGTGCACCACATGGAATAGAGAGATGTATATTAGCTTTTTGGTTAAAAATCCCCAAATCAACCACCAAGAAATCAATAAAGTCAGCTCACCCCATGCCCCACACACCATCTCCTACCATTTATATGTATCAGATATTAAAATGATAAGCCATTGTCTGTCCAAAGAGCACTTACCTCATTGTCTGACTCCACCAGAACTTGATCATATTCACTAAGTGCTACTAGAAACATGATAGAGGTGACATTTTCAAAGCAGTGTATCCATTTTCTTCTCTCTGACCTCTGGCCCCCTACATCCACCATTCTGTAAGTTTAATAATATTCACATTAATCACATATAAAGAAAAAAATTAAAATCAATATAAATATAGCTTCACTTACACACTTAGGAAAAATACTCTCCTTAATGAATGGCATCCAAGTCAATTCAATTAATATTTACAGTTATTGGGTATCTACTCATCTTCTATTATCTAGCAAAGTCAAGACATTCTGGGTAATAAATCACTGTGGTTATTTGAGATTTACCAGATGTGCACAAAAATTATAACTGTGAAAAATATCCTTATCTGTGCACTAAGCAAAATGGTGCGTTTTATTTAGTCACAGCACTAAAGAGTCAAAAACAGAACAAGTTTTATTTCTGCTAAGCCCTAATGGCAAATTCTAAACTTTAGTTTCCTTTCCTATAAAATGAGAATAAAGATCTTCATGTATTTCTCAAGACTGCTAGAAATGCCTGCAAGCACATTTGAAAGCTGTAAGATGCTATATATTTCCATACAGGAGTGTGTGTATGATGCTCCAACTAAATGTGAGCAGTTGCTCCCCCCCTCCCCCAATAACAGTAATAATTTTGGACTGGTCTAGCCACATTGAATAACATGGTGCAACGTGGCCTTGTGCACAAATCAACCAGCTAACCTGCTGGAAATCAAGATGTTACAAGGTGCCATACAAGGGCCATCATTTGAACTATTTCAAGGATTTGTGTTTAACACACCAAGCCTATGCTTGTAACATAGTCTGTGAGTTACTGCTCAGGAACCAACACTGGACATGGATTCATCTGAGTGATAAAACATATATGAAAATACCTAGCACGCTGTCTGGTACTGAATCCATCACAGTTTCCTCAGGTTGTTGAATCCATATCTTGACTGAAATGTACACAATGTTTACAGGATAAAATGCTCTCAGAGAATATACTGGGGTAGGTACAAACGTCTGAGAGCAGGGCTCTTGAAGCATTTGTTGAACCTGTAATTGCTTGTTTCTGGTGTTTTTCTGCCCTACAGCATTAACTCTCAACTAAGAAATCAAAGATGTTCCAGTAACTGCTTCTTCTATCAATTTTCCAAGGTGCAGAACAGTATCTGAGAGGCAGAACAATGGATCCAGGGAGATCTATATACTAAGGATATCAAAACTGTAATTCTCAGGTTTTTAGAAATATTCAAATGCTGGCTCCTCTCTGATGCCATCGTGTGAATAACATGTTACCTATTTATACGAAATCCTTACTTTGTGAAATCCTGTCACACTGGGCCCCATGAAATGCCATATGCTTTCTGAAAATATTCAATAATATGGTAATAAGAGGGAGGAAATTTGGGTGTCTCAAATGAAAGATCTCTAAATGCTATAAATTCAAAACTTAAGTATGACAGAATACTAAAGGGACCTTGAAGATCATCTAAGCCAACTGTTTTTTATAGGTGAAAAAACCAAGGCTCAGAAATGTTGCCAAAATGTCACTCACTTTCTAGTTATGTCTATTTGAGCAGTGTATGACAGCCAGATGTGACCTCAGGTGCAGAGATTAATGAGAATAAAACACAGAGTGCCTTGGCAGGGGGTGACGGATGGCCTGCTAATCCAAATTATATGGCGGCTCAACTCCTATTTCATAACTCAGTATTGTACTAGGTCTTCTTCAATGGACCGGCTCTCCTGAGGAATTCAACTCTCTACACTCAGAGACATATTCACACTGGTAAATCATTAGAGATGACATGGCTTCATTTCTCAAAGCACCATGTGGTTTGTATTCTAATCAAAAGTACAACTGAGTGACTGTGTAATAAAAGATTAAATGAAAGTACATCAGTATTGTTTATTTTTTTCTAGTCTCTCTCTCTCTCTCTCTAGAATGCTTTTGCTGAAGTACTACCCAGACAGAATAGTGGCAGTGAGGGAGGAGGTAATACATTTTTCATTCTATTTTGCTACATAAATTTAGACTAGGTTAATTAACCTGTTCTCACAATCATTTGAAAAATTTCAAACAACTTTATTTTATGGATATATCATTTTTTTATTGCTACTGAGAAATTTTGCATTGGTCTTTCCCAAGAATTGGAGGAAACATCAACATGAAAGCTTCGGATAACATAATTTCTACTGTTGATAGGTCATAAGATCACTCATCTCTTAATTCTAAAAATACATTGTCCTCATAGAGAAAATGATTCAAAAAAATTATACTTAGGACCAATGTTTCAATAACTGATGTTGTTTAACGACCAGCAAACCAAGATTTCATTAATTTCTTGGTGATCTAAACTGAAATCCACCTCTATATCTTTCCTCTCCTTCCTCTTTCAGGAGCGTATTATAAATTTGTGTATCTAACGCCATGAGTTAGAATCGACTTGTCGGCAACTAACAACAACAATGATAATAAAGGACACAAAGGCTATGTTGTTTTAATATCTTAATATTTTTACATATGATTTCAAAATTTATGGAGATCACTAAATGTATTCAAGGCATAAGAGCTGGGAAGTGGGTTTTATCGACTTGGTTACTACCTGAAAATGACACTTTGTAAGTCAAAAGGGTATTCGATGATCCCTGTGGTGGGGACTCGAACTCTAAGCACATCTTGTTGAGTAGGCAGATAGGCAGGGTCGGCTACGCGGTCCAAGTCATTAAGATAGCTGAGGAGGGAAGACACAATGAGAACGTCAGTAACACCATCATACCAAGTCTGTTTATACAAAGGGATGGGCAAAATTTCAAAGAGAGAACTGAAGGAGAAAAAGAAAAATATTAGAAAGTAGAGAAGTTTGAGAAGTGGGCAGATAAAGTCAACCTTCCATTATTCAGAACAGGGATATACATCTACAGATTACCTAGTCACCATATTTCTCTCATTACTTCTCTTACTATCACTTAGAACTCATACAAAAAGTAAACGGGGAAAAAAGGAAACGAAATTCAAATCTGTCTCCTACCATCTACGTGCTTAGCAGGTCTGGCTGGTAAAGCAAGAGTTTAAAGCAAATTGTTTTTTAATTATTTATAAAAATCTTATTTGCATAAATAAACAGATCAGAGTTGCATGTGACATCAGGATGCATTTTTTTGTCTTTTTGCAGGGTATAAAAGTCTTTTCCTGAAATGAATTTCCTTATTCCCCTTTGAGAAGACAGCAAGATAAAATGTCCTAAATTCTGCCCAAAGCCTAACTCATTCATGATTAATGTGAAGCCAGGAGACTTCTAGTTTACTGCAGTAATAATGTCTAAGGTCAGATATTCCCAATGGTTAGTCATCTTAACTTTTATCTGGTTCTATGATACTTTTTCATTCCCTTAAAAAAAAAAAAAAAAAAACTTCCTAATTTTGAAATAATTTTAGACTCACAAGTAGTTGCAAAAATATTACAGAGACTTCCTATATACCCTTCACCCAGCTTCTGCCAAAGATAACATCCTGCATAACCACAGTACATTATCAAAACCAGGAAATTGACATTGATGTGATTCTATCAACTAAACTACAGACTTTATTTAGATGTCAACAGTTTTTATGTACAGCCATTTTTTTGGGAGGAGGTGTATTGTATATAGTTCTATGAAGCCCTGGTGGCACAGTGGTTAAGCACTTAGCTGCTAACCAAAAGGTTGGCGGTTTGAACCCACCAGCCACTCCAAGGGAGAAAGATGTGGCAATCCGTCCATAAAGATTACAGCCTTGAAAACCCAATGCGACGATTCTACTCTGTCCTATAGGGTCACTATGAGTTGGAATTGACTCAACGGCACACAACAACAACATACAGTTCTATGAAATTTTATCGCGTCATGGAATAACCACCACAATCAAGATACGGAACTCCTCCAACACCACAGGGAAATTCCCTTGTGCTATCCCTGTCAACCTAATCCGTAGCAACCATAGATCTGTTCTCCATCAGTATAATTTTGTCATTTCAAAAATGTCACATTCCATTGCCTTTTCATTCTCCCAAAGTGCAAAAAATAATTTGTGGCTTTGAGAATGACATGATTTGATATATTCTTTTCTGAGAGGTATCCTCATGATTTTAAAGAGTGACTATGCTCCTGTTTGCCCTAGAGAGGATGGGACACCAGATTTTGTTTCAAAACACACAAAGTGAACACGCAAAGTAACTAACTCGTGAATAAAATTTAAAGTAAGAGTTGGAGCACTAATGGAATTAGAAATAGATAGATCTTCAACACAAGACACAGGGAATGCTGGTATACCTGACAGGGAATTTCAGGGGCAGAGCTTGTTATAACTTAGCAGTAGCACAAATATTTAGTTGCTATCACCTACTTTGGGCAAGGACTATGTCTTATTCATTTATTTCTGCCACAGTACCTAAAAGAGTATCTGGCAAATAGTACTTAATAAATATTTGTTGGTTGGACAGATGGATTTTCTAAAATGCGATTTTGTTTTAGCACTATTTAAATATCATTCTTACTAGTCCACCACTCATCTATCAGTTTGTCACGCTGTGGTGGTTTACATGTTGTTATGAGGCTAGAAGCTATGCACCAGTATTTCAAATACCAGCAGGGTCACCCATGATGGACAGGTTTTAGCAGAGCTTCCAGACTAAGACAGACTAGAAAGAAAGGCCTGGTAATCTACTTCTGAAAATTAGCCAATGAAAACTTTATGGATCACAACAAAACACTGTCTGATTCACTTGCTCTGGACACGTCATCATGAGGGATCAATTGCTAGAGGAGGATATCCCATTTGATGAAGTAGAGGGCCAGAGAGGGTGAGGGATACCTATGTGAGACAGACTGGCACAAGAGCTGCAATGATGGACTCAAAAATGATGATGCAAGACCTGGCAACGTTTTGTTCTGTTGTATGTAGGGTCACCGTGAGTTAGAGATGACTCAACTCTTATTAGTGCTGTTTCCATATGAATGATATCCTTAAATTTGAAACTGAATGTTAAAAATAAATACTGTATTAAGTCCATAAGATTCATGGAATCATAGACTAGTAGAGCTAAGTCTGATTTTAACAAAGAATTACTGTCCTTTTGGAGGTGTATGGTGCAGTGGTTAAGCGTTTGGTTTCTAACCGAAAGGTCTGCAGTTCAAATTCACCAGCCGCTCCTTGAAATCCTATCGGGCAGTTCTGCTCTCACCTATAGGGTCGCCATGAGTCAGAATCAACTCAGTGACATCCGGTTTGGTTTTTGGTTATCAATTCTTTAAGACAAAAGCAACAGCCTGAAAATTCCTACTGCAAAGCAACTAATCAGTATTCTACTGGCCTTATCCCAAACACATCAATGATTCTCTAGCTGGTGATTAGCTGTCTACTGACTGATAGAATCATATCTTTAATTAATATAAAACTGGCTGGAGAGGAAGAGGGGAAGGCTTGGAGAATACGGGCATGAGAGGCAGGAAGGAAATATAAAAATGGACTGGACCTGAAATTTTAGGAAATATCCTGGAATTGTCTTGGAGTGGTCTCAATTTTCTGATGGTATTAACAGGCCCATGTTCTGAGAGTTGATCTGTATTTCATTCTACAAATCAGCTGATCACACCATAAGTGCAAAATCAACTCGCTACAGAGACAAGAGTTTTCTAATTTATCAGTTCCTTGCATTGAAAATCTCGAACATATATTTTGAAAGACAAGAGATCACTCTTTATTTAACTACTGCATACAAGAAATTATTCCAGAGGAAGCAGAGGACTTCAAATACACATTGGCAAGCTCGTTAAGAAGTAAGTTACCCAATAAACCACTCACTTAATGCCCTACAGAGAGGTCAGAACAGAGGGTGCTGATTTTGTATACAAAGTACTGTGGTGTTCCTGTGGTATAAAGAAAATTGTGGCTTTCTGTTTCCTGAAGATGAACCAAACAGATTACTTGTTGCCACTCGATTTTTAAACATGGACATGTATTTGCACAGGAGGATTTAAAGAACTAGCACGCGAAGAGGGAAAATCACCTGTCACACTGCACGGTAGGAACCTTGATCAGCCTCTCTCCAATTTAGAAGCAGGCACCGAGCTCCCTGAAGAAACATGCTCGGGTAAGAGGGAATCAGAGAACACAGCTGCAACTGAAATCCACTTATGGGGCTTAGAGGCTGCCCTAAAAAAAAAATCAGTAATGTTGCTCCGTGAATCCAGGGCACTACCATTATATTAGCTGAATACCTAGAATGTTCACAGTGCAAGGACAAATTTGCAAGAATGGTATTTTTCCCTCTTCATCACTCCTTTCCAACATTAATACAGTTCACATCGAGGAACAATAAGTAACTTATGCTAAGCACTTGCTGCTAACCAGGCTTTCTTCTATTAGTTCACTATCATAACAGTTCAAGGCAAGGAAATGGCCATTAAAAATGTGCCACACATATCTGATTAACAGGACAGTAAGCTAAAGTTCTTGCTTGACATTCCTTTTGCCTTTCTTCACTTGGGTAGTAGAAAGCCTCGCTTCAAGTGGAGTAAAAATGCTAAACTAATCTAGTTTAATGAAAGAAAAGGGCTGAAAGGGATTGTATCTAGCACCACTGGTTGCAACACACATCATCTAGAACCAAAAGCAAACCAAAACGAGGCAGCTGAAAGGCAAAACAACAAACCTCCAAACAAACAAAAGACATACACACTATCTTATCCCAGAGGAAGGTCTGGGTGGCACAGAAGCTATAACAGGATTGAAGATATGTTGCAGACAATTTGTGAAGCAGGTAAAACGTGGAGATAACCAAGAACTGCATTTTTCAAAGGTGCACGACCCTGCCACGGAGGGGCCAGAGTGAGGATCTTCTGCCTGCAGAAGCCCCAACCCCATGCTCTACCCTCATCCTGGGCTTACAGGAAGTAGAAGGACTTACAGCACAATCTGCATTTCACATTTGCTCGGGCAAAAGCCGCTCTATTCCCATAGAAATGAGGTCCCATCATGATAGGACTGGCACATCCTCAAGTGTTGATTCTTGTCACATTTTGCAAAAAGATGCTGGAATAATCTCTTAACTGAATTGTACTTCCCATGTAAGCATCTCATATAACGAGGAAAAGCTTTGGAGGAACATGGAGGTTGGGTTCATGTTGGATTATTCCAGTCATTGAACCTTTTGAAAAGAAACACCGAGGTCTGAACAAATTTATACGGCAGAGAAAATTCAGAAAGTTAATTATAGCTATAATTTGTTTTGTAGAAATGATTTTGAGTGGCTGCTGAGGTCACTCTCAGGGAGTTGCTATGGTGACAGGCACAAGGTACATTTCCAAGGCAATGTATGTGTAACACGTGGTTGCCGCAGCTCTCCTCTGATGTCAGGAACAAAAGGCTCCCATGGTATACATGGGACGTACTTAACTGCCTGGGTAGGTGACAAGACGTGTTTAAGATTGTGTTAGACAATAGAAGCCTAGCTGCTTAAACTCTCCTTACCTCAAGCCCATTATTATGTTCTCTGGACTTTAGTGACTTTCTAGTGCAATGGGACATTCAATAATTAGTAATTTGGTAACTGATTTAAAAAAAAAAACTACGTTTTTCCATGTATATTTGCCTAGTCAATTATAGTTTTCACACACCACTGGGTCAGGGACCAACCGCTACCACCTTGTACCTGGCTATATCACCAATACTTAGGTGCGTGCCTGGAACACAGCAG